ATGCCAGGTTATTCATGAATTTTCTGTTGTTAAATGTTGCTTTTGTTATTTAAGTATTTTGAATTCAAATATATGAAATGATTCAAATCCTTTTTTCTTCGGTGACCTGTCACAGGAAGTTTCATGTCTTTCATAAAAAAGCGATTCTCGCTGGTCACGTGATTAATCAAGGCAGAAAAATTGATAACGGAAGACATGCATGTTTGACCAAAGAAAAAAATTTAGGTTTATAACAAAGTGCGATGGAATTATTACAAATTGCGACAGCTTAGTTTATTACAAAGTGTGACACGATTTATTACAAAGTGCGACGGGTATTACAAAGTGCGATGAATTTATTACAAATTGCCACAGGTATTACAAAGCAATAATTCTTACAATTTGCGACAGTACGCATCTCCTTTCATCCCGAGAGATAATTCAAGGCGAAAACAAAGCTGAATCTTTGGCCAAATTAAATTTTCAGCTAGCATTACCGTTTGGTATCGCTATACTATAAGACACCATTATACTTTGTTTCTTAGGGCCTGTTTACATGGAGGTGGGGGACCCCAGGTAGGTGAGGTAACCCACTTAGGTGGGGTAACCCGCCTGTCCATATAATCTCTCATTTTACTTGGATCACGTTTACAAGATAGGTGGGGTAACCCAACTAGCCGGGGTAGGATTCGCAATACATCAAATTCGCGAAAAATTCATTTTGGCGGTGGCTTTGCATCATTATTAAAGGTAGCAATAGAAAGCCACATCATTGAAGGTTTCAGCAAGAGCAGCAAGTGGGTGTAGAAGAGCATTAATCGCCAAAACACGAGGTTTGCCGGCATTTTTCTTGTTTACGTGCTAAGGGACCATTCAATAATCTTGAAAATCTGCAACTCGGGATGGCGGGGTTGCAAGATTTCATGTAAACGAGGATTATTTTTTCACTCCACCTAAGCGGGTTACCTCACCTACCTGGGGTCCCCCACTTCCATTTAAACAGGCCCTTAGTGAATAGGTGCACACGGGGCTATCTTCCCACGAAAGAATTTGAATTTATCGCATGTAAAACATTGACATTACTCACACTGAAATGTACTAGACATGGATATATGTATTGTCCGCATTAAATAATAATAAGAATAATTTGAGTCATTTATAACATTTTTATCAAATAATCTATCATGGCTATTGAAAATTTAAGATGTAAATATATTTTCCTTCTAGTCGAATTCAAACGTAAAGAATTTTTTACTTTTTACGGAGGATATTTGCTAAACACCAAACTTTAAGTTCCTAGTGTTGGATTTTCAGTAGCTGGTCTAGATCGTGCAAAATTAGGCGTTTATCAATTTCAAAGTTTTTTTTATTTATTGTTGTCATAGTAATATCAATTTTACTAAAACCTACATTTTGACAAATTTCAATCTATAGTCAATCATTGGTGAAAATTTTATAGCGATCAGACAAGAATCAAATCACTTTTAAAGTGACTGAAAAATATCTCCATGGCCTCTGAAAAACTATATCGAAACATCTTAAGTTAATGACAGGCTGAGTTCAAGTATTACAAGAAGAGACCTCGTCTTTGGGCATTCGCATTGCACGACTTAGTTGAGTAGAAAATAATGAAATGTATTAAAAAATTTTAATCCATTCTCATTTTTTGTTTTGCTATTTTAAGGCTGATTTGTAAACCAAGCGGCGATTGTGTGCCCGATTTCCAAAGAAAATGGCGGTGCAACAGATCATTTTAATCTATCCAGTTTTTGACCAGTTTATATCTTGTCGTTTTTCTTTCGAAAAATCATTTTGTTATCGCGCAAGAATGAAGCTGCCTCTAACATAAATGTCTCCCAACAGTATTTTGCAGAATATATATTTTGAAAAAGTAGGTTCACGTTCTACATTATGTAACGTCGGCTACAGCAAAAATAAAAACCGCGAGAGGACGATACGCTCTCTTTTTGACTGACTCTAGATCGTAATAGCCGTGGAGGCTACTCAACATAGTTTTATATGAGGAGTCCCTGCCCCGAGGACTAACCCCTTAACCCTCCACTTGCCATTTTTGACAGAAAGGATACCCTTTTGTATACCTTCTATTGGCCGTATTTAAACTAGAGACGGATTATCCGCCTGACAGGGGTTATCCGGTGGAAAGTTAGCGTCAGGCAGATAATCGTCTTATATGATTGCACTTAAGCCTTCCTCTTCAGTTATGGGCCCATATCATGGCTGTAATAACGAAAAAAATACATCCGAATATAATCCCCACCGGGTATAATAAGCTCCTCCCGTGCTTGAACTAAATTGAATTCGATTTATGATGACGTTTTGAAGCCTTTATTAACGATAAGTAAATGCAAAACATCTATTTTGATCAGCAATGCTACAGCTTATTTCAAAGCGCGTTTTTCTATGCCATCAATAAGCTCCCACGGGTATTAAAGCCCCTCCGTTTGTACGCCTTTGTATAAGCAACAGTTTATGGTAATAGTTTTATACTGAAGACGCTCTGTTAAGAATGAGCCACAGTTGACAGGACTGGATGTAACTCGATGTCGATGAACTTTGTGTCCGGCACCAACTATACAAACGTCGTACAAAATTTCGCACGACTTTGAGGAGCTATATCTTCGCCACTTTTCAACAAATCACTTTCAAAGCTTGGCAATTTTACTTATTTTAAGGCCTTTCCTTTCAGTGGTGCCAACTGCTTAAGTTCTCTATATCAAAAGTTGGCAAAAAGAAAAGAACGTGGAATAGTCTCTCCTGAATTGAAAGATGTACCCTGTTGGGAATAACCTCCCCGTATAGGTCGTTGTAGGGAGCCCCCACCCCCCTTCCCACCCCTTCTCCAAGGTATAAGATATGGGTGTTTTAAAAAAAAGCACACACGAACACTAGACACGTTGAGGCTTGTTTAGCTGGAGCTTAATGGAGCCGCTACTTTTTCTGACATAACATAGCCAACTTAGACCGAAGGCAAAGTATTATTTTTGGCGCACTAAAGAGGAAGGGCATCGGGTACCGTTAGAAACGCAAAGTCGTGATAGCATGCATAAAACTTTGCTTTTGTAACAATTTATGTTCTGTGATTTATTTTTGGAATGTTCATCTTTTGACCCTGTTTCAGTACTCTGAAGCGGGCTTAAAAAAAGAGAATAAGAAGATGCAAAAAATTGCCATAAAAGGAAAAACAATCAAGCAAAAACAAACAAACAATATACAGGAAAAGAGGTTTTACTTAAAATATTTGCTATAAATAATTGAATAAGCACGAGTACCTAGCACTGTATTCAGAAAACGCTGTGTTCTCGTTCTATTCTCATCGCCATGGTTCAGTATTTCGCGGTTTTCCTGATTCTCTCTTTCTTTGGTGGCTCTCTGGGAACAACCACCTCACCTCAGCAACAAAACGCCTCAAAGTTAAAAGACTTATGCCAGGTAAGAAATGCATAAAGATATAAAAAGGAGTACTGCGCCGTAGATTAGGTCGTTATGATCATTTACTAAATAGTACCCGCTAAAAGTGTATGGCAGTTTATTTCAAAGTCCTCGTTTCAGCATGATCTTTCTTCCAAATCTGAAGCCTGTCCATTGTTACCTGTTAATTTTCTCTGATTCCATGTCCAAGATCCGTTCCGTGCCTCGAAAACAAGGGAGACGACCGGCGGGTATAGAGTTTGTTTATTTTGGTGCGGAATCATTGTTTGCAAGGAAGCTACGGGCGTGTATGAACGGAATTATCCTTTCAATTCCAAAAGAGAATTACCATTCCTGGTACATGGCTTTCATTAGAAAAATGGTATTCCAGAGAAAAAGCAATGCTTTTCCTATCAATCTGTGAAATTAAATTCTGGGGCAATTTAAATTGCGAGTTTTTACAGCTGAAAACATTTACGAAACTCGCGTGATTTACGACCTTTGAACTTGCAGTGGTTTAGATGAATACAAGCAAGAACTTTTTACACAGCATTCGAAACTCAGGCGAAAATTCGTCCCTTTTCCTCCAGTTTAATTAAACACCAAAACAGTTTGACCTACCTCACGTTATTTGACAACGGACCCGAATCCTTTACTCCCTTAAGCGAAACAAGATTGCCTGACAAAGAACTTTGAGACCCAAGAAAACCGCGAAGACAGATACCATTCTGAAAAAGAAACTCGCGTGGCACCTTCTGTAGCTATAAAAGCGAAACATTTAAATAATCAGAATCCTTAGTTTTCCACAAGAGACTATGAAGTGGTGGGCCTTTATGGTCTCTTATTTTACATAAACTTCTGCTGAAAAAAGCGCTAAATCGTAGTCTGAAATGTCATCCGAGAAAAAGGGGGGTGGGGGGCTTATTAGAAGGAGGGGGCTATTTGAGAGGAGGGGCTTAACAGAGGGTTAACGGTATATTTTACTATTATTGGGGTCCAGAAAACCGTTCTTTATATCAAGGACTTAGTTCCATAGAGGTTCTTTATATCAGGGTTCCACTGTATAAGGGCCGGCCTACCACTTTATAGTCTTTTGACGAAAAAAAATATTTTTTTAGTGTTACATTTGAAGGATCACTCTAGCGGATAAGTCAAGGAAACTAAGGATTTTGATTACTTACATGTTTCGCTTTTATAATTACAGAAGGTGGCGTGAGTTTCTTTTTTAGAATGGTATCTGTCTTCGAGGTATAAATTGGGTCTCTTAGTTCTTTATCACGCAATCTCTGGTTTCGCTAAAGGAAGTACACTGTAAAGAATTCGGGTCTGTTGTCAAAGAAGTCAAAAAATGAGAGGTACGTCAAAATGTTTTCCTTTTTATAGCTATAACTATTTATTTCATGAGAAATGAGAGCGTTTTAAAGAATAGCTATCGACACTAAAGCCGTTTTGTACGTAAATGATACCTGTTACAAAAGGTAAAAGTAAACATTTAAGCACGTAAGGAAAGTGTTGTAGTCAGGAAGTTCATAGCTCACTTCCGCACAATAAAACGCTTTTCCTTTTGAAAATTTACCAGTGCAATCTAGAATCGTTCGTGGTATTTAAACTGGTGGAAAAAGGGCGAATTTGCGCCAGAGTTTTAAATACTGTCTAAGTTCTCACTTGTATTTATCAACTTCATACCACTGCAAGTTCAAAGGTCGTAAAATCACGCGAGTACCGTAAATGTTTTCAGTCGTAAAAACTCGCAGTTTGAATTGCTTAGAATTTTATTTCACAGATTGATAGGGGGAGCATTGCTCTTTCTCTGGAATACCATTTTTCTAATGAAAACCATGTACCAGGAAAGGATTTTCGCCGTTGAAAAATGGTAAAATTGATGGTTGCGATAATGCTGATTTAGGGGGTAATTTAAAAAAAAGAATCAAACAATCAGATTGAAATCTTTTGAAATTATAACAACCCTTAGATACAAAGGAAGGATCATGAAATTGTTTAATATAAGAAAAGTCATGGTATTAGTTTCCATTTCCATTCACGAAGTGAGGGTATCAAGCACATTTTTCGGTGGTTTGAATGCCTCTCGAAGGTGAAAATTAAAACAATTGATTATTTTGGAAAATATTAAGTCCAAGAACTGAGTCTTTTATTTTTCCAAAATAGTTTCCAAAGGGCTTTGTTGTGACAAAGTTTGCGGGAGGGGGGAGAGACGAGGTCTGGGACCGTGAAACGACTTTCTCACAACTTGCAAAGCGGTCATCCAGCGTGGTGGTCAGCGGATAATTACAATATTTTTTCCCACAGTAAAATAATATTTTTAGACTTTTTAGAAGCAAGAAGCGAACCGACAGAGGAAATGAGAAATGCTTAAAAAATTGAAAAAAATCATATCATGCATCTTTGTTTTTCTTCCATATCGTATTTGTTTTTCGGTACTGAAATGCGGGGCAAACAAAAACACAACCGTACTAGATCTTAACCAACAACAACGCGCTCGATGGATTTATTTATAGGGTACATCGTTTTTGCCGGGCAAGGATAACTTGATGCTGATAAAAATTACTGGAGCAAGTATATTCAAGAGAGCTTTATAAAAATGAGCTTACTGCTCTACATATCATAACTGAATAAAAATTAACACTTCATAACATTTCACTTCGTTTATTTCGATCAGTCAACACCTTCAATCCGAAGTTAAAATTCAAAACCATCCTAAAACAAATCACAACTACTACTGAAAGCTCTGTACCTTGAAGCGACTTTAACTTTCATAAGGTTTGCAGCAAAACACTGCTCGATAGCTCTGACAACTCTTCGGCGGTTCTTAGCAGCTATACGGACTATATGTTGCATATTCGAAACTCTGCAAAGGGAAATTGTTTAACAGAAAAAGAAAACCACACACTATGTCTGAAAAGCGACATAAAATCAATAAATTTGCGAATTACCAAAAAATAATAATGAGAAACAGTCCCGCCTTCGACTGCCATGTTTTTGTTTTTTTTCTGAAGACCGTCGATCTGTGATTTTTGACGTAATGCGCATGATCAGTACACAAATCCGCTGGCAAGACCCTTGCTGATTGCTTTGCAAGTTGTGAGAACATCGTTTGGATTTCATTTAAGAGAATGTATGGGAAGTAGCTCCCCCCACCCCCTGTTTTGGGGGATTTCAATTCTTCCATCTTGCACACCTATCCATGGTATTTACAGAAAGTCGCTCTTAAAAGTCATCTTTACTTTAATTTCAGCGATCTATGATGGGTTTCCCTGGTATTCCGGGATCAAATGGTGTACCTGGAGTACCGGGCGTCCCGGGGCCACACGGGCCCCAAGGAAAGGAAGGTGTAAAAGGACAAATTGGTGATAAAGGATCGCGAGGAATGCCGGGTTTAAGAGGAGACAGAGGGCGCGAAGGGCCTCCTGGGAAGAGTGGACCCCGCGGAATTAAGGGAATGAAGGGTCAACAGGGACTTCTGGGAATGAAAGGAGAGCCAGGTATTGTGGGAAATCCAGGAAGAAAAGGGGGAAAAGGAGAGAAAGGAGAAAGCACCAAAGCAAGTCAAGCAAGTGTAGTACCACAAACCAACTGGAAACAATGTGTGTGGAAATCACAGAGTAGTACTAATAACGGAAAGATCAAGGTAAATACAAATAAGAATCATAACACACTCCTAAGGAAATCCATTCCTTTTTGAATTAAAATATTTCAAAGAAGAGTTGCCAACACGTTACATAAATAACTAATTAGTTGCATTTCCCTAAAATTTGGTTCTTTTTGAACGAAAAAAAACCAAAACAAAACAACAACAACAACAACAACAACAAAAACACACATCATGGGTGATAAAATGGATCCTGGCCATATGGATAAGGACAACAAAAATTGAAGCTATTACAGAGTTTTTAAAAATTAGGAAGTAATCTTGACTGGAGTTGTTAGTATCAATTATTACACACTGTTGTTCGCCTTGCTACAACATGTTTGATTTGTTTAATTTTATTCCAGGAATGTGCGTTTAACAAACTGCAGTCTAATTCAGCGCTCAAAGTCTCATTCCAGGGAAACATGGCGGTCTATGGAAGTAGTGAAAAGTGTAACCGATGGTATTTCAAGTTCAGTGGAAATGAATGCAGTGGACCAATGACGATTGAGGCTGTTGTTTACAACAACTGGCCATCTGGAACCCCTACTCTGTTGCATCATCGGTCTTTTGAGGGGTACTGTGAAAACATCCCACAAGGTGCGGTCAGAGTGGAATTATGGGTAGGACAGTGCAGTGGTGGCTGGACCCTAGGTAATGCTGACACTGGGTGGAATTCAGTGTCCCGGATAATGATTGAAGAAGTATCTAGGCCCCAGTCCTAATAAGAGGAGTCTTTAACTTTGGTGCTGTTTTAATTCCTTAGAATAGCATTCTACAAATATAGACGGAAGGTGCGAAAGTATTGTTTTTGTTTATTTTTTTCTTAGCCTTTTGTGGCTACTTTCGTCGTATTAGATTGTTCATAGGGACCTTAACATTCTCGTCTCCAGAGCCACTCGGCTTTATTTGTAACGAACCAGTGGCTTTGGACGCAACGAAAAATACGAATTTTTTCATTGGCTAAAGGAATTGAGTGCGCAGAGCACATTAAAAATATAATTTGGAGCACATAACATTTTACTTCCTGCCCTCTTGAAACGCAAACATGAAATCTGTGTCTGATTTAGGTCGATCGCGGCAATCCAGTTTTTGGCAATGTTATGGACAACTGAGGTGTTGATAAATAAAATAATAAATGAACAACAGCCTAGAGTAGTCTATTTATACTGCAGGAGAAAGTGGTTATTCATGATGATTACTACTGGATTTTGCATTATGTCACATTCGATGCGGTGGGTAACATAATAGCTTGAGCAACAGTAATATTCTAGTTTACTAGCTAATCCTATCCACCTCTGCTATCCACCCCCTCCTTGAGCTTGCACACAGCCCTAGCTTACTGAAGCGTATGGCATCTTAGTTTGCTTGGTTATTGACATATAATGACCAAATTAAAACTGGCTTAAAGCTTCCACTGGCCACTGCTTCAGTTCTGGTAAAACTGACTCTTTCCTTATTGAAACCCCCCCCCCCTATTATAAGACAAAATAATCAATTTCAAGTGAACTAAACAATTATACAATTACGGCTGTGAGAAGATATTGTACTTTAATTCTACACAGCACCACATTCAGTCTCAATACGATTGTACGGTACCCCCAAAATTCAGGTCAGGTTGTCCCTGCATGCAGTATGCTTCTTACCTCGCCAAAGTTTGACCAAACTATGTGATTTTTCCTATCTTATTTCAGATCTGATCCAAAATTCTATCCCCAATTTCAAACCAGGCCTTGCACTCCACTTTCAAAACATGACGAGAGCAGCTACCCAAGAAAATGCTTTTGGGTTGTGTAATACTCAAAGTGTACTTCTTAAGGTGGTCTTCTAAAGAGGGTGTGAATGGGGTTAACCGACTAGCGACAAAGGGCGAAAAATGTTACTGACTACCGACAAAATGAGTAAAAAATTACCGACTACTGACATGGGCTGACATTATCAATATTTGTTTCAGAAAAAAAGAGCATTTTGCATTTTTTTCCAGCCGTTAGGAAGTAACCTCTTTAAATTTATGACTCATCAGATGGTCTAACAGAAAGAACTTCCTCTTTTGTTGATACGGCTACATTACTAAAACCAATATCATAATCACAGAAGCCACACCTTAAAGATGCTACCGACTTTAGATATTTTATTGAAAAGACAAAGGTGAAAAAAAAGAACATTTCTTGTTTCGGTCCGAGAAATGTTTAGATTAATCCTGAAAGAAAATTCCTCCCAGTTTAATGGAAAGCACTATCAGTAAGAAACCACAGTACCGCGATGAGCACATACAGCAGTTTCCTTTCCAGCATTTTCATGGCGGCATGTATTGAAACACAAAGTTTAAGCAAAACCGTCTTTAAACCAACTGTTTTAAAATGCTACATAGATGATATTTTTTCCCTATGGGACATAAGTAAACCAGACCTGGTAGATTTCTTCAAATTCACGGAACAAGTAAACTTACTTCACCCTACTTCTCTCACAGCATGAAAATGGAGATTTACGCAAAATTAAAGTTTGCGTAAACCTGCGTAAAGTTGGTCATCCAACTTTACGCAAACTTTCCACGGCGCGTAAAGTTTGTAAAGGTAAATTTACGCGCTCGGCTCTTAAAGGTTTCGTAAAGCTAGCATAAAGTTGTTGTAACAGCTTTACGCTCATTTACGCTACAAGTAAAGGTTTAGTAAGGTTGTCATATAATGCTAGCTTCCTAACAGCAATTTATTCCCGACACTGTTTTTAGTAAGTCGTTTGTGACCTGATACTAGTTCGCATAGTTTTTTTGATCACTCATTTGCAATTGGTGTTCGATGTTGGTGTGCGATGTAAACAAGCCAACCACGCAAATTTTTTTTGGTGGTGCGAACGACTTCGTACACGCTTAAAAATGACGCTGAAAAGAAAATTCTGCTGGCAGAGTTCATGCAAAGATATAGCTTGCGACTGTGCGGCAATTTTCGAAAAACGGCATATCTGTCGCGGCAAACACAATAGCCTTCAATACTCAGTAGTAGTCCCTCATTGATTTCAGTCAGTATAAGGTGTTTCTTCCTTAACGGTCACCTCTCTACACGGGCCATTTTTGTTTTGTTTTTTTTTTTCGGCGGACGGTCCATACATGACATACATTTACTCTCCTTTCAACCTCTCTACTATGGCCACTTTCGTCGATGTCCCTAAGGTGGCCGTTGTAGAGAGTTTCAACTGTAATTTGATCACGTTGAAATAATTGGAAAATAAAGAAAAAATATCGCCTCGCAAAAACGGCGAGTTTTACTTAAAGAAAGAACGCATTACTTAAAGAGAAAGAACGCATTCACAAATTACTGTGACCATTTTACATTCAACGGAGTACTGGCTTCATTGTTGAGCCTCCTTTATCGCTTCCTTATTTTAAGTCCGCGGACTTCTGGTTTGGGAACGGACAATTTGTTAAAAGAAAGGGGCCTGGAAACAATAGAGTGAAGGGACACCTGGTCAGCGGGCTTGTTCCTTTGCACATGCTCAATCAGGTTCGTTGATTTGGCGTCCATTTTGAAAGTGTCCAACGGTTTCAAACTTGCTTCTTTGAAAGGTTGGAGATCGTTCATATATTATGCTTCTTGATAGCATCACAGGACATCTTAAGGTTGTTACAATTTATAATGGCACTATCAGCCTTTAGTAATCGATCACTTCTCAAGTGTGCAGCAACCCTTTCGGGACGAGATACTCAGTCAGAAATGGAGACAGAAACATCGTGTGAAGCGCAAGCATTAACACTGGAATGTTCACAACACAGACCAAGACTGTATTACACGTATTACTAAGGCTCTTCGATACTCAAGATCTCGCTGAAAAGAGCAGATAGTATGGCAAGGTAAGTTGTCCTGGCTCGCCTTTTCTCTAACTTTTTAAGCTTAATTCCAACTTGTTTATGACGAGTTCGACTGACTGTCTCAAGTACTCAGTAACTAACATTTCAGTGAGCAATGAAACCAGCATTAACCGTTTAAAGTAAATTATAACTAAACATGTGTATTTATTTGGCATAACCTTTCAATACTAAGCAAGCAACGAGACCATGACGTTGAAGATGATAATGTAAAATCATGTAAGGACTTTGGGGGTCCGAAGGAGTAGAATTTCCTTGTTTTGTACTGGAAAATAGGAGTTTGGTCTCTGGTACTGGGAATTACTAAAAGAAAATAATGGAATTAAGAAAGGACATCTGTATAAAGTAAGCTTGCATGTAATGTGATACAAACATTCTTATGAAAATTTTCACAGACTATAGAAGAACTAATAGACAGAATAGAAAAGTGTTAACATGTGTTGAATTTGCAAGTAGGCAAAGATAATCTACGTAGTCTGGTTCTATATTTCATGCGTCAGTCAATAACAAACCCAAGCTTCCCAATTCCCGGGGCAGTCATAGCGTCATAAGTGGTGAATAATTTAACAGCATGCATGTATTTTTTGAAGCAGGTACAAAAGTTTATTTTTGATTTTAAATTACGTGGGTTTTAACTTAAATGAACAGAGAATGAATAGACATTTTCATGAGTCTTTCAATGCATAGCTAATGCAGACCATGATTGAATTAGAATGTATTTTCATGTAAGTGCCAACATAGTTGTTAACATCTTCACAGTTTCATACCTTCATCTGCAGTTCAAAGTATGATTCATTTCATATATTACCATTAATTTTAATCTTCATTGTGCACTGCTCCTATGCAATTATATTGTGGTTCTTGAGAGGATACAGTGCAGCACATACTGTCAGGAAATTGAATGCCTTACTTTTTGGGAAGCAAAGCACACAGTCATGTTAGAAACCAGAAATTGTTCTATTTGCAACATAGTTGTATCGTCAGTAAATCTAGGTTTAAAGGAAAATAAAATTTAAAGAAACAAGTTGTGAAAGATAAGACTCTTAAGAGAGTCATAGCAGTCATAGCTGTTTTGGATTCTCTTGTCTACATACACCATTATTAATCTGCAAATACAACTGTCTCTCTTGTGAAATGTCCCTGGTGGCAAGGAAAGAAAATAGGCTGCTTTATTTACAGGGTACACTGTACATTATTATTAGGAGGCATTGTTTTCAAGATTATTGAGGATAAGGGCTTTAAATAGCAAAGTGGCTTCACTCCTGTTACATTAACTAGGAACCTTGAACGTTTCGTATTAAAAAGGAAAAAAATATATTAGGTAAAGTTTCAGGAAAATTTAAAACTTTTGGGAATAAGGTGCTTATATGTTTCTATATTTTCCCTGAAAGTCTTTGGTGGAGCTCATGAGAAGGCTAGGAAAGTTTATTGATTTGGAACTTTAGTCCGGGACAGGTAGAAATTTAGTTCGAACATGTAAACCTTTGATATGACTTGTCCGTGGGACAAGCACATTTTTAATTAGAAAAATAAAAATAAGAAACAGTTGCCTTAAATATTCCATTTAACTTTGCCACTCCACTGCCAGTTGTTTCATCCATTTGCTTTTTTACAAGCTCTGTTGTAGGTTTAATTCAAAAATAATATACAAGGGTAATAATGTGATTAAAAACATTAAATGCCCGTTGCAAGCTAAACTTTTTGGACAAGAACTCTAGGTTTCGGACAACCAAATTTAATGTATTGCTTGTGTGAAGGACAAGTGGATAGGAAAATTTCTCTCTTACCAGGGTACAAAGAAGGTGATTTTTAAAGCTTGCCATTCGGGCAAGCTGAAGCTAGCATATACTAGCCCAAATGTCATTT